CCTAGTTGACATAATAATTTACCCAGAATGCTTTGTGTGCAAATAAAATGGCTCCGTCCGTGTTAAAATATATTTTTAAAAATGATAAAAACTAAACATCCTACAGTATTTTTACAGTCTTTATTTTACAGTTAAAATATACGTTTGTCAAATAAAGTTTAATGTTACAACTAATCATGGATCACTTTTTTTTAAAAAAACCACTCTGAGCTCAACCTTTACCCTGTAAAACAAACAGAACTGGAGGAATTGTTCCCCTTGGCGCCCACCGCCTCCATCACCGTGGTGACGGTCACACAGAGGACGGGTCGGCCGGAAGACCAGGACCAGAACCAGCAACTTCATAAAGTGAGCCCTGGGATGGTTGAGTTTAACCTGCCTTGACATGAAGCGGGTTTCTAACTGATTTCATCTCCCGGCAGTTTGTGAGCGGAGCCAAAGAGTTGTGTTTCGCTCTGTGGACCGCCGGGTACTGGGCTGACTTCATCGACCCCACCACAGGAGCAGCTGTGAGTCTTTTCCTGACCCGTTTCAACACTTTTACAGTCCCGGTCCTCGCCGGCCTCTAACCTGCACCTGTACTTGTTTCTCTCCTCTGACACACCTGAACCTTTCCCCACGCAGTTCTTCGCGCCTCCGACGAGCCTGTCCACGCCGCAGCCCGACGAGCCGCTGACGGACCTGGGTTTCCACATCGAGGTCTCGGGGTCCTGCACTGTCATCCGCCACGTCCTGAGGGGGACGTCGCTGTTCGTGGGGACCGTTTTCACCAACGCGCCGGCTGACAGCGCCGCCGTCACCAGACTACAAGGACTGTCGCGTGTGTTTGAAGACGACGAGTAGATTTTAAAAGAAGGATTAGAACAGGAAGTGTGGACTGAACGCCTCCAGTCACAGTCGAGGTGGTTTTTAAAGGTTTCATCAGAACACGAGCACGTCACGGTGTTCTGAAAGACCTGAATCTGTTTTGTCTTTGCCCCTGCACTAGATCCAGGAAGAACCACACTGACGCGCTCATGATCTGTAGAGATTAATGCTTTTGGAAGAATAAAGTCTTATTTATGTAATTTCAGCTGCTTACAAGAGAGGTGTCTGTTTTCAAAGCTCTGACATTTTAACTGGACGTGGATCAAGTGAAATATTTATTTTCAGTTTTGATGAAATACGTCTAAGAAAAGTAATGTTTGATTACAATAAAATCYTTTGGTTTTGAGCTGCAGACACTCCTTCATGTTCTCCTTCAGTCAAAGCAAAGTTGCACAAACTGTTGGTTTTGTGTGYGTCTGGTGTCCACACAGAGAGACTGAGACGCTGCAGCTTCTGTGAGACCAAACTGTTCTGTTCACAGGCTCCCAGGACTGAGATCAGTTCTTCAGCTGGATCTGACCCGGTCCAGCCTCAGAGTTTCTTAGTTTGACACAGAGAGACAAGAAAACTGGACAAAGTACTAATACTAGAGCTAGTACAAGTACTATACTAGCACTACTTTCATAGTAATGGTACCAATATTTACATTTAGTAATATTACTAGTAGTAGAATGAGTACTATTGCTACTGTTAGTACTATTATTCTAGTAACTAGTACTATTCTAGTAATGGTACTATTTCTAGAATAGTACTGTTATCTGTACCAGTATTATATTGGTACATATAGTAATATTAGTGCTAGTATAGTAACGGTACTCCTATTGCTACGATATCACTATTAAAAGTACTGTAACTGCATTTGTACTGATTACGAGTATAAAATATTGTTACTAGAGTAGTATTAGTTCTGTTATCAGTATCATAACAGTACTGCTACAGTAACAGTACCAGTTTAGTAAGAGTAATACTACTACTAGGATACTATAAGTACGAGTACCATTACCAGTATAATATAGTAGCACTATTTGAATTACTATACTAGTACTTGCAGAACTATTAGTACTTTTATTGTAGATGCTCAATAACCACTGGTACAATAGTACTACTGTGACTATTACTAATAGTACCGTTACTACACTAGTATTAATAGGAAAAAAGTATGAATATTACTAACAGCAGTGTTACTGTACTATTGCTAGTATTATTATTGCTTTTACTATACTAGTACTATTATTACTAGTAGTATTTGTACTTCTATTACTGTTGATTATTTCACTAGAAGCACTACTACTATTAGTACTACTACTGTRCCAATACTACTTTAGTAATAGCAGTAATATTATTATTAGTACTTGTAAAGTACTGTTATTATGCTACTACTAGTGTAGCAATATAATTAATAGTAAAATTACTAAAAGGTTTACTAGTAATAATATAACAATACCACTAGTAGGGCCACTGTTACTATACTGATAATAGTTGTACATGTGAAGTAAAAGTACTAATGTGATACTAGTTATAGTTCTCCTACCAGAGTTTGTATTTTTCATTAAAAAACTTTCTTGTTCAGACTTGATTTTTCTCTACGATCTGTTGGTAAATAAAAACGGCTGTAAATAATCTGACAAAGACAGATTAGCAACGAAACAAAGACATATGAGAAAAAGACAGATGATCAGGAAAATAACCAGTGGTGGGCAGCACTAATCTACAAATTAGTTCCAGTAGCCCTAAAACACTAACTCAAATATTTAGGTCCCCTGAAGCACYAACACACTAAAAGTTTTAGCAAAAGYTAATTCTAAAGCACTAAAATAAYCCAGTCAACACATGAACATTCTYCAACARACAACATGAGTCACATGTTGTCATGTTGCTCTCTGAAKACTTATCATTGACATCCCACAGCTGTGTTTGGGTTCATATRTTGTCACCTGGTGGATCAGTGACACACATATGAACAAAATGTGTGACAGYTTTCACCCTCAGCTGTTAACATTAATGTTGATCAATAACATTTATAGACCTCAGTTAGTGCTTCTAAATTTAGCCCATAAATTTAGCAGGTGCTAATCCACTAATAAATTTTAAAATTAGCAAAAGCCCTAAAGCACTAATCAGGAAATTAGTTCCCCTRTTAGTGCTTTGGGGGAACTGTGCCCACCACTAAAAATAACTGATGAGATTCTGACCTGTCTGTCCTCAGACCGGTTCTGTTGGACCTCAGTCTGAGCTCAGATTTCAAGTCTTGGTTCTGGTCCACATTTCTTTAAACATTAAAAAACAAGCAGCTCTTCCTGCCTCTTATCTTTTTACTTTGACCMACAGCTCTTGTGTCTGGACTCTTATTTCTGGAGGACCTGGATCTGCTCCGAGGCTTTTAGATAGTCACAGACAGCTGATTTTCTGACCTGGATAATGATGACATCATCAAACCCTGAGGTCACGATGTTTGTGGGCAGTCAGACTTGAGTTACACAACACAAGGTCCTGATTTATTTCACAAATCTGACATCATGCTTTTATTAATACTTATAAATAAATTAGTGAAAAATCAAACGAATGAACAGAATTTAAACGGAGYAGGTTTTTATCATTAGACTTCTCAGTCTCGTCCAGCTGTGGAGGTGATGATGATGATGATGATGAGCGGTGCAGCAGCCTGAAGCTTCCTCCCTGAGCCGACCAGAGCGGAGGTGGAGAAAACGGCGCTGCTGTCGTTTCTCGGCACCAGGACGTTGCAGATGTTCCCCTCACAGCAGGAGGTGCAGACCTGCGGGATGAGATCCGCATGTGAGGACACTCCGCCGACGGGACTCGGACCAGAAAAACTCGGAACCCGGAACAGATCCGAACCCACAGCTCGGCGTGTTTACCTGGAAGCCGTTGTGAGTGAGGTTGACGCAGCCGGCGAGGCGGCAGCTGTCCAGCGCGGCGCAGCGTTTGGTGACGGACACGCTGTCTCCACGCTCGTCCATCATRTGAAGCGTGTGGCAGAACCTGGTTCCTACAGCAGAGACAGAACTCAGTAACASACTGTTTCAACTCAGGGSCCATCCATGWAGGCTGCATAAAACAGTTGTGAGAYGAGACAGTCTAGTCTTCATTTGACATATGTCTGCATGACCACGCTCTGCCCTGTTACCAAGGTMATTTGTTTCATWWCACATGCCTTCAGCTGGAACATGTGTTCACACATCTAAAAACAGTTAAATAGGTCCTCTGGATGAGTTCTTATTTGTTCAAAACGTTTCCTCTCCTCCAAGAGATCCTCTTCAGTCTGAGGAGTTTCAGGTGAGCTCAGTGTTCTAAATACTGCCTCCACATGGTGGACAAACAGGCTAATGACAATCAAAACTGTTTGTTCATGTGGAAAAGAGGACCATCAGCCTAACAATCGATGGTTAGTGCCCTGGTTGTCCTCATTAGGCTGATGGTCCTCTGTGAAAATCCTCTAACTCCTCAGACTGAAGAAGTCTCACGGAGAAGAGACTAAATGTTTTTTTTTTAAACAAAGAAGAACTCGTTCAGAGGACCTACTTAAAGTTTTKTTTATATTCTTCTACTTGGACATGTGTTCACATGTCTTTACAGGAGGCGTAACTTCACACAATTCAGTATTATTAAAAACATTACTTGTTAGTAAATGAGAAACAGAATTTTTGGGGGTTTAGCTTCAGTACTTCAGTACTTGTAATGGCATTTTCTTTAAGCAGCAAAAAAAGAAAAAAA